TTCTCATTATTATCTTCATGATTTTTTTTTATATATTATTATTGTTATTATATTGTTCCAGCAAAATGCAAACGCGACGAGATCTCAACTTACGTAAATGGAGTCTTGGTGTGTTCTTGTAAACCTGGTTATGTCGAAAACAGTAAAAACAATCCAAAATGTGTGGGTAAGTTCTTTGCATGTTTTTGTGTTCATTTTAGGGGACATATAAACAGAACGAGAGAGAGATGTAAAGTAAAAGTAAAGTTCCCTTTTCAAACCTGACGGTCTATAGGGCAGGTGAAGTAAAGTGTGGTCTGCACTATACCCTGCCGCCTTTACTTTACCTAACGTGAGTTAGGTACCCATCAGAGCTGGTTGGACTCAGGGACTGATTTGAACCCGGATTCGAACACGAGACTTAGTGGTTAGCAGTCTAGCTCTCTACCGCTAGACCACTCACATAGTGAGAGATGAGTGCAACATTTATTTATGTATCATACTTAAACACTCCCAGCTGTTTTCGTTCATCAATGTATTTCTTTTTTATATTTTTGTGTGGTCCTTAATTATAGATGTAATTCCACTTTTTAAAACTCTTTTTCTGTGATAATCTGCTTCGTAACCTCGATAACAATATTCAGGGATATTGCAGCATATGGGAATGCGTGGCCTAATCCGGAAGTCTTGAGTCCGGGTCCCAGTCAGTAGAACGTCCCCTAGTTAGGGAATGTTAGGGAATGTAAAGTCGGCTGGGCAAAGTACTGACAATACTTTCCCTTCATATGCCGAGGTCAAGAAACATATGAACTCTAGTTCAATTGCCCAATGGATTACTGGTTCTAAAGAGGATTCTTTATATTTATATTTGTTACATCTTAACATGTGTGTCTGTATTTGGCCATAAAAATACTTGAGGGTTGTAAAAGCAACGCAAAAGTAAAACTGATGATGCTCAACAAGGGTCTACTTTGTAAATAACTGTTTGTAAAAAAAAATATTTTAATTATATGACGTTACGTTTAAAACTAAAAATTTCAGACCTCGACGAATGCGCAGATGCAAGCACAAACCCCTGTCAGCAGAACTGTGCCAACACCGAAGGAAGTTACTCGTGTTCATGCAACGCTGGCTACATCATCAATAGAACTAACCCCGATTTGTGTGATGGTATGTTTTTCTTTTGATATATTGAACCCAATACCTGATGATTTAGTAGCTTTGATGTAAGCATTATATGGTACTCATATATGAGACTTTACATACAAGAAAATTAATAAACAACATAATTGATATGTATTAACAAACACGTCTATTACAAAAGTATTAGAACACTACCACAAATAACCTTATGATTTCATTACCAAGTGCAGAAATATTGTTTTAAGAAGGAGCAGGGATTGTAAGAAATTCTCAAAGTAACTTTTTCTTACTTCAAAAATTTTAAATCATAATAACAGGTACATTTTAATCAGGAATGCATTTATTTGCAGAACGAATGAACATGGAACTTGTTTAAGATTTTTTGTGGTCATATAAACACAGCGAGTGAGAGATGAATGCGACGTATTCATTAACGTATCTCACTTAATACTCACAGCTGTTCTAGTTTATCAAGTTGTTTATGTTTGGTATTTACATGACTGAAATTACAAATGCAATTCCATCCCACTTTTTCAAGCAATATCTTAAATTTTGTCATTTTACACATTTCTTTATCATTTCTGTGATAATCACCTAGTAATATCAAAACAGTATTCAGGGCTTTTAAAATGTTCGACAGCATAGGCTAACATGTATGTCTGCTTGTGTTTTGGACATAAAAGTGTTTGTGGATTGTGAAAGCAAATGTTATTAGCTGATGACGCTAAACAAGCAAAACAATAGCTATCCCCCACCGCGAAAATACACTGGTTATATTTAATACTTGAGGTCAGGTGCTAAACAAAAACATTTCAGACATCGACGAATGTGCAAATCCAAGCACAAACACTTGTCAGCAGAACTGTGTCAACATAGCAGGAAGTTACTCGTGTTCATGCAACGCTGGCTACATTATCAACAGAGCTAACCCTAATCTGTGTGATGGTATGTTACTTTGTGTTGTGAACGAACGGACACGCCTTTACTGACGATAGTGTGCGTCGCGCAACATGTAATGTGTATGAAAGTGTATACTTGGGACGGATCACTGCGTGTGTGAATGTATCCTGTAGCAATATCTGAGGCCGGGTGTGTTGACGTAAATGTTATTGTACGGAGTGAACGAGGGTAAAGGTGAAGCGATTGGTCGAGTGACAGCGGTTGTGTTGTGAGCGAGTGAAAGGAGGTATGTTGGAATGAATACGGAGGGTAGTTGACGGTGGGAGAAAGAAGAAGAAGGTTGTAATGTGAATGGACAAGGACATTCGTTGTGTTATACAGACAGTTATATTTAACCTCTACGTGTTTGTTGGTGTGTACGTTTACCTGAGTTTACGAGATTCATGTCAACCCTCACAATTCCCTAAACTTTCTCGAATCTACTTATTTAACCTTGCGGGAGATGTCAACTGGGGATATAGACACGATTTTTACTTTATCGTATATACTAAGTATAAAGAAAGTATTGTAATCGTGCAAAAAAAAAATCGAAATTGTTATAAATTTCGACGTTTTACACCTCTCTGATACGGAAAAATATAATTTTGCAATCTTGTCCGTATGTCTGTGTGTCTGTCTGTTTGTGTGTCTGTCTGTCTGTGTGTAAACACGATAACTTTAATACCGTTACAGCTAGGTTGATGAAATTTCATATATAAGTATGTTATCAAAATCGTAGATCCGTATCAACTTTTAAGCGATTTCCGATAACCGGAAGTGGTACTTTTTCTACTTTGAATTTTTCAAAAACCTATAACTTGAGTACTATTTCAGATAGATAACTAAAATTTCACATGTAAGTATAAGGTTCTAATTCTCTACCTTCTGTCAAATTTTGAGTAATTTCCGTTGAACGGAAGTACTAATTTACGCTATTTCCGATTTTTCAAAAAACGCATGTAAATTTATAAAGTACTTATAATATTGCGCACTTTTATGCACATTTTGTTTTGGCGTTCGCTTGGTGCGCAATTCTTTTTTCTATGAGATTCTATTCTATTTTTAAAAGTTTAAGTAATTAAAAATCATGTCTATATTCCAAGTTATATAAGAATATTCGAGAAAGTTTAGGAGAGATCATTCCCGGTTTATTTTACAATCTTTTATTTAATTTGCTTCCTCTGAAAGTCGTCTTAGATCGAGACGGGCGAGCGAAATTTTGGAATAGATTCGTTTCAAAGTTAGCACGTGGGTCTAGACTTGAAGACATTGCTAAATAAAATTAAAATTGACTTAAATTTGATCCATAATTAAATTTTTATGAATTTATTTAAATTCTCTGAAATTTGTTGGCAGAATTATCCAACTTTATTAGGCGCAATATTTGCTTGTCTTGCAACACTAATGCAAATAACATTATTTAAGTACTGAAATTTATTTAAAAAAAACATGTTAAACCTAGCTTTCGTGTAATAATGCACTAAAATTCAGAAAATTAATAATTTTCTTTAAAAATTTAATAATACACTACTATTTGTGTTTCTTCCTAATTATTAGTAAAGGTATCCACAAGATAATATAGTGACCTACGCTTTTTAAATAGTAATTTAAACAGTAGTACATTATTATACATTATATAAACATATCTAATTTTCTATTTTCTTTCCGTGATCGAAATTAGTACTTTAAGCTATTTCAGATTTGTCGAAATATGCATATGAATTTATACAATACTAATGTTACGCACTATCATACTAACCTGAGGGTTCGGCGTGGTCGAGTCGGTAAAGCTCATGGTTGCTTAACCGTAAAGTCTCGAGTTCGAACCCTCGGGAAGATGAGGCTCGTTAGCTGGGGACAGCCACTCTTCTAGGAGAAGCAACTCCAAAATTAAACAACTGCTGCCTTGTAGTTTGTTCTTGGTTGGACAAAAGCTATGGAAGCAAATCCAAAAAGAAAAGCAGGCTGAAATCGAAGTCAACGGCCTATATGGCGCATAACCAGTTGACACGTAACGCTTAGTTGTGTTGGAGGTGTGGTCGAGTCGGCAAAAAGCACATGGTTGATAAATTCGAACAAAGTCTCGAACAAAGATAAATCTTAATCCCCTTCAACACTAATAATTAAGAACGAAGAAGAAGAAGAAGAAAAATACTAACCTGTTCAATTCCTTGTTCTACAATATTCTATTCCATTTTACAAATTTCTTTATCTTGAGTTGCCATCCCTCACAGTGTCACAAAAAAAAAAATTCAAGAAAGGTTAGGGGAGATCACTCCCGCTTTTTTAAAGGAAGGACAGCTGGTTGTAGGAAATTTATCAATATACCTTTTTCATATTTCTGAAAAATTTAAATTAAAACAACAGGCAAATTTGAATCAGGGTTACACTTGTTGCAGAACGGGCGTGGAAGGAAATTTTACAGCGTTTTAGGGGTCATAAAATCAGAGCATTTGAGAGATGAGTGTGACGTATACATTTATGGTTCACCCTAATTACTTACATCTCTTTTCTTTTATCAATTTATTCGTTTTGTATGCTTTTGTATGCTTTTTTTTTATTGATGTGTATATTCTACAATTCGAGCTCTTTTCATGCAGTAGATTATATTGGTAGTTGTATTACAATTCACAGAATAAAACATTTGGCTGCTAATGTTTTTGTCAGTTTTTTAAAGACACAACACATTGTTTTTTTAAATCGAAAGTTTTAACCCTTTCACAGAAGTTACGGCTTTTAAAAACATTGGACTTATGGTCGTAATATAATAATAGAATGTTATTATGTATTTACTATGGCAAATGAGAACGCATTTATACACCCATGCAGTGAACATTGAATAATATCCTAGGAATCTGTTGAGACAAATCAGACTCAAAATTGTTATTGAATAATTATTCGCTGAACCGTTTATTTTAAACTATGTAATTTTCAGACATCGACGAATGTGCAAATCCAAGCACAAACCCTTGTCAGCAGAACTGTGTCAATACAGCAGGAAGTTACTCGTGTTCATGCAACGATGGCTACATTATCAACAGCACTAACCCCAATATGTGTGAAGGTATGTTATTTTGCTGCGCGCAACATATAAGACTAACAATTACAGTGGGTTAAAAAATACAAGAATAAAAAAAAGGCTCGTGAACGCTGATAAAGCGGAAGTGATCTCCCCTGAACCTGTCTCGAATATGACCAGCTTTTATTTAACTTGCTTCCTCGGTTGTCAGCAGTGCCGGCGCCAGGTTATTTAGCGCCCTAGGCAAAACTTATTAAAATGCCCTCTGCAATTTTTTTTCGAGTCCTATATATATATATATATATATATATATATATATATATATATATATATATATATATATATATATATATATATATATATATATATATATATATATATATATATATATACTATTTAACCTTTATCATTTCAAAGTACATCCACCATAAGACTTGGAAAAACATTTTTAACATATTCCCACAGGAAACTTACATTAAGTGGGCTTAACAACATAAAAATATAATTAAATCTGTCATATGATGTGTCTCATGAGACAACAAACCACACATATATAGGCTGAAACTAGTTTCTGGCTTAAATTAATGGAGTATTAAAAACGCCTCATTTATAAATCTCATTTATGCCCACCGAAAATTACGAATAGTGGATATTTTTACCAAGCAATTCGGTCAAAAAAATGTTAATCAGACGAACTTGATATGTGTAATGGTTTCCCGTGTTTCTTTTATTCTTATATTTTTTTTTTACATTTATGTTAATTTTGAATTAATTCCTTTTTATACCTTGGTCATTCGCCACGATGCTTTATTTTAATAATAATCAAGAGAAGAAATTTCGTTTTAACTTTCTTTGTACAAAACTATTTAAATTTTCTTTATCGGCACCCCTTCGACTATTTAGAGAAGAGCAAAAGGTCATGGAACTGGTTTAAAGGTTTTCCTATTTTCATCTAAAACTTACGTAGTTTTTATTCTCTACGCAACAGTATGTGTTAGTTACTGTAAAGCAGGGGTCTCCAAACTACAACCCGCGGGCCGGATGCGGCCCGCGAGGTTCTCTCATTCGGCCCTCGGAGATCTTTTTTTGTCCACGGAAAAAAATGTTTGTTGGAGGTGGCTGAGGAAAAAATAAAAACAAACTGAAAATTTAGCATTGGGTGCAAATACCATTGAAGCAAATGCATCCAGTTGCCCAGCAAATGACCTCCTTAAAGACAGATTCAAAAAGGGCATGTGGGTTTTATAATTGTTTGCCCAACAAAGAATTTCCTAATATTAAACCTTTTGCATCAAAGTACCTTTCAAATTTTGGAACAACATACACACTTTATCAAGAATGAAGTAGACCTACGTGAAAAACAATTTGAGAACAAACTTGGACCTCGAGTGTGTTGTCGGTCACCGACAGTGTTTCTTTCAGACTTTTTTCTCGGCTGGGGGCGCGCTTGAAAAAAAAATTAAAAAAATAAATAATATATATATATATATATATATATATATATATATATATATATACATATATATATATATATATATATATATATATATATATATATATATATATATATATATATATATATATATATATATATATATATATATATATATATATGCATGCCTGGAAGAAACTCTGGCCCCCGAACTTATATTTGATAGTTAATGCGGCCCTCGTGCTGAAAAGTTTGGAGACCCCTGCTGTAGAGCAATCACTGCTGCAGACGATTTGTTTTTTCACTAGTCTATCAAGGTGCTAAATTATTTTTTTCTTTCGGATTTTGCATCCACCTTCCCCCGCCCCCCGCCGCCGCATTGCGGGTTGTGGCGGTATAGTGTAGTTTCGCCCATGTAATTAATTTATGTTTCGAAAAACTGCGCTATTCACTAACCATCGACACTGGAAGTGTTATTAGTATACTCAAGGAAACAACATTTGGTACATAATCTTCCAATTTTGGTTGTACTATATTGGGAAGCATATCTGATGGGGACATAATTATGATTAGGAGTCTACTACTTGAAACTCATTGCTTGCAAAGATCATCAGCATCAATTTCTTTATTAGCGTCATGCGTCAACGACGTTTTTTATTGTTTGCAGTCAGTTAAGTTTATCCGCATGTTTCTTTTAATTGATATTGGATGTATTATAAAGGAAGTCAGAATATTATGTTGTTTTAATTGATGGAAACGCTATTCCAACGACTGTATACCCATATCTAAGATTGTGTAGTAGAATTCTACTTTGAAATTCTGTTTAGGACCTTGTGGTGCAACAATTCATTTAGTTTGAAAATTTAAATCTCTCACTGGCTAACGAGATTTCTAATTCAAATTGAAAGAAAACGAGACTTAAAGCCCTATGAAAAATCAAAATTGCTCGTGTTCTACAGAGTCGCGTCATGCGCTAGAGCGATCACTAAACATACATTAAAATTAGATAATCATCTGAAATATTCGAAATTAAAAGGTTTAGATTAAATAGAATAATACTCTTATTATATTAACAGAGGCGTAGCTAAGGGAGGGCGGGAGGGGCGGCTGCAAAAGGCGCCGACCCAAAGGGGGCGCCAAACGTGGCAGAAAATAATATAAAAAGCTTATTACTGAATTAAATACAGTCGAAATATAGAATGTTGACTGTTACTTGGCATTACGGACTTATAAGTTTTTTTATATCATTTGTGGGACACCAAAATAAAAAGGCAAAGAGACTGTAAAAAGCGCCCCGACTTGTCCAAATGAAGAAAGTGGGCGTATTTTCACCAACGCGAATAACTATTTATAGTCCTAATTTGAAGAGGGGGCGCCAAATTGATAGTTCGTCCTGGGCACCGAAATAGATCGCTACGCAAAGTTAATAATTATTAGGTATTTTTTCGCCCCCCTATGGATGGCGTCTTAGGCGACCGCCTAGTTCGCCTTATAGGTAGCGCCGGCCCTGGTCGACAGTTTGTCTTTCATAATACATACAAACAGGAGAACGAAATTTCGGGCACTTCTAACTGACATTTTCGTTTCAAAACTTGGCACGTAGATTAAGCTTTTAGGACAAAAGAGTAAGACATTAAATTTTACATAATTGGGCGAGTTTTTAGAAATTAATTGAAATTTAAAATTTTCAGAAATTAGTAGGCTTTACTTATATTCTGAACTATAATCACATAATCATGTTTATTAGGTGCGCAATTATTTTTTTAGTGATGAAACTTTATTGTAATAAAAATTTAAAAGTAATGTAAATAAACCGGGAGTGATCTCCCCTATACTTTCTCGAATATTTATGTATAACACGTGATATAGACATCAGTGGCGTAAGCAGGGGTGGGGGGTTAGAGGGGGTTATAACTCCTCCCATGGACTCCCAAAATGACTACTTTTTAACGTTAAGCTTAAACACTAACACTTAAGCCTGGCAGCCTCTAGAACGACAATGTATATCATTGTGATGAGAATTTCCGGTAGAATTTAGTTACGATTTTTTATTATCGCGCTGAATTAATGTATAATAAACTGGAACGCAATAGGCCAAGGAAAAGTTGGCCAATGTTAGATTAGTTAAGGAGTGTCGAAAGGGGAGGGGTAGGCCTTTGTTGTCTACTATGATTGTAGTGCAACCAGAAAGCATCTTGAAATTAAAAAAATAAACAATAAACAAATGAACTGATTAAGGAGCAATTTTATTATTCGCATTGAGGTTCTATAATGTGCATGTATTTACTACTTTAAGCCATTTGAAATTCATTTCACTTATGGCGGATGACACAAGGAAACTGTAAACTTCATAACTTTTAAAAACATAAGAAAACTAAAAATGATAAAGATGGCAGAGAAGTGGGCAGGGGTGAAGGGGGGGGGGGGGTTAAGGGATTAGGACCTTCAAAATGACAATCCTTTACGTTAAGTTTCAGCTATTGACATCGGTGAACTTGTGTTGCTATCATTCAGTGCTTAAACCACAAAAACTCAGGGTTGCAATAAGCGAAGGGAAAGCTGAACAAGGTTATCAGCTAAAGGGTGTGGAAGGGGGTGAGGGTGGGATAAATATTAATAGGTGTCTATTATAAAATACTACCGGATGTGCGCCTGGCATGAAAGCGTGGGCTTGACGCACTATTATTGACACAAAACTTTGTGTTGGTAGATAGAAAAACTGCGTATATGGTTAAATATAGATCAGAGGCGTAGCAAAGGGGGGGGGGGGGTGGCGGGGGGACGACGTATGTCCCCGGTCCCCGGGCGCCGACCTTAGGGGGCGCCAAAATGGGTTGGAAAAATAAATTGAAAGGTTGAGGGGGGGGGGGGTGCAAATCGAAAGTTGGAGGGGGTGGAAATCGAAATCTTGAGGGGGGGGGGGGTTCAAATCGAAAGTTTGTCCCCGCGCGCCGGAAGGGTCGCTACGCCTCTGATATAGATGTAGAGCCAGGAACCTACAATAGTCATTAAATAAAAGACAGCCAGTAAAGAAAGATTAATAATAATTTATTTTCTTATTCGCATAGTCGTGTTTTAATGTATATCTTTTTACTACTTCAAGCAATTTAAATTTATTTTAATGGTGGCGGATGAAAAAAATAAACCGGGAGTGATCTCCCTTAAACTTTCTCGAATATTCTTATATAACACTACGGGGGATGACAACTCAGGACATAGACAATATTTTTAGTCCATTTTTAATTACTTAAACTTTTTAATATAGAATATAATCTCGTAAAAAAGAATTGCACACCAAGTAAACGCAAAACAAAATGTGTATAATAGTACGGAATATTATTAGTACTTTAAAATTCACATGCGTTTTTTGAGAAATGGACACCAGTGAGTTGACGAAAATCCTTCCGTAATGTTGTTGACATAGAATAAAATTTTGCTTTTTTAGATTTAGGACCGTAAAAATAATAAAAGATAAAATTTTATGAAAAACTTAAGCCTAAAATTAATTCAGAAATTTAATATTTTTTAGAATCAATGCTATACAAGTTGCAGATCCAGAGAACTTGAAAATAATTTGTTGAGTTTAAGGCTACATTTCTATTAACTTTCATCA